AGTTGCGTCTTTCCTGGCAGTCTAATCCTACCAGCAATATCTAACAGCGTAAAGCCCTGCTGGGATGTCTGTCTCTAGCCTTGTCGTGAGTAACTAGTTTACTTGAAGTGTAATATGAAAAGTTGCAGAAGACTATCTTATTTTCTTATTTTAGTTTTCTTTGTAATAGGCCAAAATTAATCAGGCCCTCATTTGCCTTTCTCGAAACACTAATTTACAAAGTCAGTCATCGTCACAGCTATTCGTTTGTCAGATATGACTGATGTCTCAGCTTGTTAATAAGATTTCTTTTTCTCCTGTTTATTTACGCTTCCCAAATGAATCCTCACTGGTGTATTCTGCCTCGGGTATACTTAGCTGATTATTAATTTTATGGTCCTGCTTGCAATTTGTTTGAAAGATACTGTACAGCAGCACATTTCTTTTCACAGTACTTATGTATGTCACTTCACATTGCTCGCTATGCCATTTCTCATGGCTGAATGCTTTAATAAACAGCTGTGACTACATAATGTGGCATTTGGCAGTATGCTTGGGGTCGACTGTCGTAGATACTTTGCATGCAGGTTTCTCAGGGGAAGTCTACTCTTTCCGTGTTCACAAGCCTATGCCAGTGTGAAGAGTCCTCTTAGGTGTAAATTTTAAAAATTTGTTGTCCATGAACAGCTCTGCTCGCTCCTAGTCATTCCTGTTTTCCGTGTTTGTCACAAATTATTTTCTTGCATGAATATCTTTCAGGGTGATGGGCTGAACCTCTCTGAATCAGGCAAAGAGCTGAGTTCTTAAGCACCCTACTCACCAAAGGTGTCGTGTTCCAGCCAATTTCTTGGCTTTCAGTTTGTGGCTCTGAATATTTCTTTGTTGGCTCCAGTGCTGCTTGGTGAATAAGATTCAGAAACTTGGCTGTTGGTTTAAGAGACACAAATACAAAAGAAAGTATGTTTAAAAACCAGTCACCCATGGATGTGTGTTAGAATGGGACATCTTAACTCTGTCCAAGCAACAGCAGGAAAGCCAAGGTTGGAGGCAACACCTGTGCTCCTGTGAATGGTCTTGTAAGAGAATGCAGAGGGATAATTCTGCTCAAATTTATCCTGATGAAGTTTCAAGATTTGCCTGCCTATACTGTCCTGTTAATTCTGTCATCCCTGTCTACTGTATCGCGGCATCTTACGTTTCTTATACCACATGTAGTATCAACCAGCGCTCCACATTACCTCTCATCTTTCGCAGTTGCCTGAGACCTGCTGCCTTTCCCTGTTGTGTTGTTTTGTTTTGTTTCCCCCTCCCCCCAATCCTTAACTACAGCAGGCCAACCTTAACTGACCAGTAAGGTTTTTAGGCAAAATTGGTATGCTAGAAATAAGGGAGCAGTTGCTGTAAGGATTCCTGTTACTAGTGCTCTAAAGCAAGACTTGGCAGCCATATGTGGTGGTTAGGTACAATCTGCAATGACAGGCAACATGTATGTATAAAACATGTTTCTAGATTTTTTTTTTTGTTTTCGTCTGAAAGAGGTTTAGATTCTCAAGCAGAATTTTATAGTATGATAACTAAAAACAAAAATAAAAGCATAATTGCATGAATTCAAGCTTGTACTGGTAACGAAAAGTAATGGGAAAAGGCCTTAAAGTGGAAAAACATCACATTTAACAAAAATCATGACTGAGTTTAACTTTCTTATTGTCACAGGGGAGTTTCCACATATGCCATCTTTTTAGGGTAACTGAAATTTTTTAATCTTATTTATTAGTCATTTTCTTATGTAATTATCACAAGCTGTTCAGAGATTTCTTACCATCTGCTGGCTCTTCTATATTATCATGCCAAGACATAGGCTTCTTGGTGATCACGTGAACTGGAAAGAAATGGTGCAGGTGAATTACTTTAATGTGAATTTAGCATCACAGCCAGGTGTAGGATATCTGTCACTGCAAATGTTATTTTTGATTACTCCCCAGTCTGGGCCCAGCTCATTCACTGAAGTTGTAAAGGAAGAAAAGCATGTGAACAGAACCAAATGAATTAGAGTACTGAGTAATAGCAACTTCCTAGAAAGGGGAGGGGGTTCAGCATGCTGAAGGCCCTTCTGGGGGATGCTGCCTGCATTTGCCACAGCTAAGTCCCACCCCACCCAAGTGGTGACCTGCAGAGTGTCAAGTTTAAGGAAATTATTTCCCTTTGGTTTGTTTTTGGTTTATTGTAAAAGCTAGACCTGAGTGAACCTGTTCCCATCACCTGTCTCTGACAGTACAGGTTATGGTATTCTGTGACTGAATTGGCAGGTAGAAATCAGCCCAGGGCCTGAAGAAACAGGGTGTAGTGTTGGGGCTCTCTGCCCCACCTTAGCTCTTTGGTGTTTGCTCAGGATCCGTGGGTTCCAGATCCTAAATAGTTGCCCCGCTTCTATGTGTTTACTAAGGCACTGCCTACTCTGGGCAAATTGGTTGCGTCTCCATTCTGTCTGAGTGTGCAGACTGGTTCCTTAGGCAAAAGAAAAGCCCACCAGTTGCTCCTTCCCGATCTACCCCTCTCACTGGCCACTGCTGGCATTCTTGGGTGCAGCTGCTTGTCTCTGACACGCAGCCGAGTGCTCCGGGGCCTGCCTCCGCCTCATGCAGGGCGGCCCCAAGAGCCTTCCCTCAGCCCTGCGGCTCGGTGCAGTGCTTGTCCTGCCCTCGGGGCTTCACGGCAGTTCTCTGTGACCGCGCGCCGCCTCACCGCGGTGTAACGGGTTCACGCCGTACTCCGTGTGGGCACTGCAGCTCCTTCCGCACCCGCTCGCACAGGAGCTGGTTCTGCCGCACCGGGTCCGGCGGCTCCTTCTCCCCGCTGCGGGCGGCCATGGCCCCACCGGACTAAGCGGCGTCCCGTAGCCTGGCAACGCCTCACGTGATACCCCTTGAGGCTGCTGATTGGCCCGG